CAATTTTTATTACCGTTGTTGCCTTTTGTTGGGTTCCTGTTGCCTGTCACCCTGCAAAATGATCGAAGAGTCGCATATGAGAACGCGAAGCAATTGAGATTGATGGTTGGCTGGGTCGGCTTATGCATATAGGTAAGGGGGCGTCAGACCCTGAGGGGGCGTGCCAGCCCGTCAGTCAGTCGATGCTCTCGTTGTTGTTGCCGCTTTTCGCAGGGCCATTTTGCATTTGGCGCGACTTTTACATGAAAATTACAAACTACTGGCAACAGGCAAGAGATTATTTTTTTTGCGTAGGTTGCGCCGCGGTTCTTTATTTTTTTTGGTCGCCACAGGGGGAGGGGGTGGCACATGCCAAAGACAGCAAAAATTGTGTCGCCAATTGCTGGTGGCACATGCATATGGATGCAGAAAAAATACCTACTCTAAACCGCGAAAAGTAATACACTTGGAACCAATAGATTTCAAACTTAAATACTTGTTATTTATTGCTCACAAAATAGTTATTAACAATTATGCACAATGTAATGATGTAAATGGCTCGGCTAATACAGAAATGAATAATAATCTTCAAAAATTGCAAAGGCTTATTTTATTAGAATATAAGATGTGGAAATTATGTAATAATTTATTTGAAGTAGCTTATATACAGCAATTTTCGCATAATTTACTTTGTACCCCATTTTTCTTTAGTGTATTAAGCAGGCGGTGTAGCCGTTTTGAATGACGCATGCAGCGAGTGCCAAGCTCATGGAATTCATGATCAATGACTAGACACAGATACAAAAACGCACACACGCGCCACAATCATAATCAAAATGGAGCACGAGGGAGATAGACAATGCGCGAGCGAGAGGGGCACAGATTAATGAACACTTTGGCTGACATTTTAAGGACAAGTTCGTTGTCGAATGCGGTTTTCTAGGGGGTGCATAAAACAGGAGGAAAAGCGGAAAAACAGCAGGCTACCTGAGGTTGATGCCTTACGTAATTGGACAGTGAGTGATTGGGGCGCAGGCAATGGTAATGGTGATATAGTATCTACTGTCCATTCGCATTGAAAGCGGCTTAAAGGATTGCGGATTGCAAACGGCTGCTGAAAGTTATCTAAAAGACAGGATTATGTGCACAATGCTCACTGAAATATATAAAAAAGTGGAGATAAAGATACAATCTTGAGTGGCAAAGATATAAACATCCTTGAGCCGGCTTTGATTGGATTTTCTTGGCTAGTTTTTGATCCCACATCATGTGCAGCCCACTCACATTTGGCACAAGGACAGCCTGCTGAACTAGCTGCTAATTAACTGGCTAACCGGCCTGACTCTTCGCCTTTTGCGTTGGTGGCTAAAGGTCTCCAAGGGAGAGCTTGTATGTAATTCAATCAATGGCAAGACAACAGCTACAGCTGCAGCTACATGCAACATGCCACTGGCAACCAGCTAAAGCCATTGACAATTGGGGCCCAGACACGAGACAGCGGGAAGACAAGCTGCGACCACTACAAGGGTCACCTAATCAATGGGTCTACGCGATGTTGCAGCAACATGTTGCCGCCGTAACTGCAATGCAACTGCATTGCATTGCTTGTTGCAGTTGTCAATAGAAGCGATTTGAAACTGTTGCACTTCTGCCGTCTGTTCGTCGCTTGGCTGCAACTCTGAAAACGAGTGGGCGTTGCTGTGGCGTTGCAGCTATTGCGTGTTGCAGCCACACAGAGTGTCAAGTGAAAGACAACGGCAACAGCAACATTTTACCAGTTAATGAGCTTATTTATTGATGGCGGAGACAGCACAGCAGGTACAACAAAATTATGACATATTTATTAAAGACTTGAAAGAAAGTTACATAGCTAAGATATCAATTATATATAGATAACCAAAAAGACATTCCCATGACATTACTTTTCTGGACTACTGAATTCCAATAAAAATAAAAACAGTTTGTGTTACATTTTCTAATAACATTTAATTTTCTCAGCATAAGGAAATGTAAAAGGTATCTAAAATAAGAGAAAGACGAGTTGACCCATCTCCTGGCTTATTCTGAATCTCCCATTTACGATCGCTGCCGCCTGACTTAAATTGACAAGCGCTTTGTGACTTCACTCACGATTCCATTTGGCCAATTCCTGCCATTTAGCAATTTGGACTTTTATTTCTGTGGGCCATAAATCAAAGCCGGACAAACGAAAGTAAAGTGTGCAATGTAATTACAAATTAAAAGCATTGGCAGCCAAATGGCCAAGACGCTGGAACGAAAAACCATGTTGCAGCGGCGCAAAAACTGGCAAAAAACTATTGGCGACATTGCGAGGCGATTTAATGAAAAGCGCGGCCATTGGGAAATGAATTTTGAAATTATATAAAATGGCAAAAAAATTAGAAAACGAGGGGAAAAACAAATCAAAAACTGAAACGTTGAGAGGGAGTAAAAAGAAAATTAAAGTCACGGTTTCCAGCGTGTAAAGTGTGCTGATGTTGCTGTTGCTGTTGCACTGATGCTGCTGCTGCTGCTGCACTGCCGTTGCTGTTGTTGCATGTGCCAGCGACACTTGCAGCGGTGGCAACAGCAGCAGCAGCAGCAACAACAACAATCAGCCAAAACAGTAGAATGTAAATGTCTTTCTGGTCAGGATCGTTGTTGTTTTGTGGCCGCTACAGTTGGTGCCACAAAATCCAAATTGCTTGGCAGCCATCGACAAACAACAAACAAAAGCAACGGGCCAGCAACCTGCAACCTGCAAGTTGCTGCCTCATCAATTGATTAAATTTGCAACTGCGCACAGATCGTCGTCGATGCCTTTCACTTAACAGTGCACGATTTTTATTTATTTAGATTTAGATTTAATTTTGGCTCAGCGCGATGCCATCTCTCTCTCTCTCTCTCTCCAGTAATTTGTTCGCCAGGAAAAATGCCATTAAAATTGGTCATTAAACGAACATATTTGAATGGCATATAAATAGTTTATATGCCGAAGTGATTTCTCATATGTAATGCCTTTATTACCTTCAAACTCAGATTTACGGCAGAAAACGCATCCGAACGCAATTGAAATGTTTGGGGTAACACGGCGGGAAATCTACAAACAATAAGCATGTTTTGTTTTTGGCCAAAAATGGCCAGAGCATGGAGTTTGCGGCCAGGAGCATAGAGCCAGATAAAATCTATCCGGCATTTGTTGGCCGCCCGGCCACCAACAAAGTCGTCGCCATTGTTGGCAAACGGCAGTCAGGTGTTGCTTTTATTGTTTTACAATCACCACCAAGCCACCAAGAGCCAACAAAGGAGACAAGACAAGAGGAGCCTCCTCATCGATATTGGCCAACTTTCACAAACAAATCTCTGCGCAAAGTCGAGCCATAAAAGCCACAACACAATTCAAATAAAATGAAAATAGAATCAAATAAACTTTTCTCTGCCGGGCCGGCCGAACAAAAGGCCACAGTGAAAAATGTATACATATAAATAAGAAAAAAGAAAAAAAAAACCAAAAAAAAAATTAAAAACTAAAAGAAAAGAAAAACGGCAAGCTGTAAACTGCAAACTGCAAGTCGGGTCATAAAGAAAGCCCAGGGACAAACGGGCGACTTCCACGGAGTCGCGAACCTGGCCAACAGGCCAAATGCAAATTTCCTTCGCCCCACAAAAAAAAGCAACAAATAACGAAAAAAAGGCCAAAATGCAGGCAGACTGACCCAAAACAATGGACAGCAGTGTAAGGCGCATCGATGCCGAAGTGTTAGCTGATTGTCCAGATACGCGAGGATTGATAGTGCTCGAAAAACTGCTCCAGGACAACTGATAGGCCTGCTGGTATTTTCGTAAGGAACATATCTCTTCATTACCCTTCGATCGCTGGGTGTTTATGGGATTATTTCTGCCAGGCTTTCGTACTTTTGCTGGTTTTCCCACACACACGTGAGCCTGGCTAATTGGCTGTTGGAAAGCTGGCTGAGTCTTTCCGCCGTCTGCCCCATTTTAAGAACCTGCAACGTGCTCCCCCAACAGCAAGAACATCACCTCTAACTGCCCATCAAATAAATCAGCAGCAAGACGCACATGCAAACACGTCGGCTTCTACACTCGGCGAAAGACTAGTTCCCAAAGCACAAAAACTTCCAAAGGTTCGGGTAATGTAAGCAAGAAATGTAACAAGAAATGTTCAAGAAAGGTTGAACAAAATGTATAATGTAATGTATATATGAATAAATTCAAATCCCACATTAATTAAACAAAAAGTCCGCAGTGTAGTCATATTCCATCGGAGCATGCCGGCACCAGTTGACGGTGTCCAATTTGCTTTTTGGCCATCTCAGTTATCAGAGTGCGCGTTTTAATGAGTTCGAGTACGTTTTATGAGCGAAAAACTCTTGAGAAATCGGAGGAACCGCAACGCACCAAAGTGGAATGCACACAAAAATGTTAGAATCTCGCCGCGGCGATAAAACTTTCGCGAGCAAAGAGCTTCGGCTGAAAAAAAGGCCCAGGCACTCGACTCGAAAGATCTCCAGAGCTCATCATAATCAACTGGGATGGCGATGGCATGATGGTCTTACGATGATTGTGATTGGTGTCGCCTCAGCTGGGGCCCCTCACCTCCTCGTCTGGCTTCTAACCTGGCTTATTTTGAGTTTTTTTCCGGTCTGGCACGTACGCAGATGCCACGAGATGCAAAGATACTGAGATACACAAAACCAGCGGAGGTACGTGGCATGTGAAATATGTGCAGAACGGCTGGGGAAAACGCAGTGGAATTCATGAATGAATGCCATCTGTTTTGACTAAACGGAATATGAATGAAACGGGCAATATTCGCACAGGAGCTTAAGCGGATTTCCCGGATAATCTGTGGGAAATGGGAAAACAAATCGCTTCACAAAAGTAGACAAGCGGTTTACTAACAGTGGATGAAGCATATTTTTAGGCGGTCATCAAAGTTCAAAGATTTTTGTAGAATTTTTTCACGGTCTTTAAAGTTAAATCTCCGCGCTCAGCAGGCATAGAAAATTATTTATCGAACGCACCTTTCAGCACTCATAAAAAATGTCGATCTTTGCCCCGGAATCATATGCTGATATTCAACTTCAGACCAACGATGGAGTGATTCATACAGTGAACATTCACTGCGCTCTACAGATGTGCCCCGTGCGCAATCTGATAATGCTGGAGAGACAGAAAAATATGTACACGAATGATGTTATCCCTCTATCGAGAGTCGATGCCAAGAATCTGAGATTCATAATCAAGTGGTGGACATCAGTGCAGGATCTAAAAGAAAACATTGGGGCTCTGGGCAAAAAAAAACTTATACAATTGCTAACGGAGGAAAATGCCAGCCATGAGTTTCTATTGCAAATCATCCTTGCCGCAAACTATCTGCAGATGGAGGATTTGTTGCAGGCCACCACACACCTACTGGCAGATACTTTAAATGAATGCGAAAGTGTCGAGGAGATACGTAAAAAGTTTTTTGCTAGTGCAGACTAAAATCATTGATGCCTAATATCAATTCATCAGAATTAAGAAAATCGCATTCATAAAACTAGCCGGGTGTACAAAATTATATTCTTTTGTTTGTAAGTAACTTTAATGTTTATTTATTATGTTAATGTAATCTATCGCATTTTTCTGCAGCAGCAGAGACAGTGATGAAAATGACTATTGTAAAAAATGACCGTTCTAAAAATCTTACTTGTTTTGCTGAAATAAAGAGAGTATGTTTCCATCAATTGTATATGCGTTCATTAACTTTAAACAAAACCACTTTATAGTTTTGTAAGTAATTAAATCTTTATTAAATCTCAATTTGTCGGTGATTATTATTCATTATTTTTCTGTTTGTGTTCTCTGTGTTTTTTTTTTGCCAAAACTCTCGCTACACTTATTCCTCTACTGTACTTAACTGCTTTACGTTTCGCATTTTCAAATTTTCACAACTTTTCTGTGGTTTTCTTCTTGCTTCGGCCTGGGCCCAAAAACTCTTTCTCTTCATTCGCTCATGGTGTTCTTAATTATTGCTATAGATCTCTTGGTTTTATTCGTATTTATTTGTTGTTTCTGCAACTGCAGAACTTGGCAAAGATGTGTCGAAAAATAGGGAGTAGGAAGAACCAATGGCAGAAGAACGAAAACTGGTGGGGATCGAGGAGGAAAGGCCCTGCTGTAATACGAAAGTCTGTTCTAGATAGCTCGAATATGGCATACCGCGTATATCGCATGCATATTGCTCGGGGAGTTCGAAGGGGTCGAAACCGACGACGCCTCTGGCTCTTCTGCTCTAATTCTTGTGTATCGTACACTATAAATCGCTCCATAGAAAAAGTGTAAACTATGCTATCCCATATTGATAGAGTTGTATAGCTTCGGCTGCTTCATCTCATATAAATAGGTGTATACATAAATGAATATATACATATATATATTCGGCCTTTGTATAGTCATTAAATATGTATAATTTATTTATTCCGTTTTATATATATTTGTTTATATGTATATATGCAATTTATATTGCTTAACTTTGACAATGCAACGCTTTGAAGCAAGAGGCAGACATAGAGAGAGATTCAGATTCAGATTCGGATTGAAACGAAGGACTGCTATAGTTTCGATTCCGTGGATTATCCAAAACCGAAAACATTACAAGTCGCCTGCTGTTCGGTTTAGAAGTATTAAACTTGCAAAGGAAGCGCCACTTTATCAATAAACTAATGTCCACGGGCTTATCCCTTTATCGGGTGTATTCGAAATAAGTTGCTTGTTAATTTATATGCTGTGTCTGTATCTGTATCTTACTAAGTGTCCTTTGAAACGGAGTTCATTACGTTACGTTACGTTACGTTACGTTTTAGTTTAACTTTAGTTTAGTTTTACATTTACTTTACGTCTTTTAAGTTTAGATATTCACGAGCACGCGCGAGCATTTCAATTTGCATTTGCCTCAAAATTTACAATTTTCTGCTTTTGTTTTGTTGGTTTTGGTATTTGTGTTTCTTTTTTTTTTAGAAATTTTCCATATTTTCTTCTTGATTAAGTTTACTATGTGGAATGCTTGAGTAAAAGTTTCAGTTTCGCTTTTCCCTGCTCTTACAAAATAAATATTCTTCATGATGTTGTTCCTTCTGGTTCCGAACTCTGTACTCCGCCTCTAAAAAGTTTTAGGTTACGTGACTTAGGTCTTAAGTTGAAATTTTTTCTTCTACTTGTTCTCCTCACTAAAAAACTTCATTCTGGGTCCAACTTGCTTCAGTTTTTTTTTCCTGATATTTTGTTGCCATTTATTATTAGAGTTTTATATACGTTTGGGTATTTTTTACTACCCGTACCATTCTTTTTCAGCTTGAGCATTCTTTTGTCTGCATTTGGGTTTCCTTCCTATCTCTCCACGATAAGTTTTAGATTTGCAAATTTTCTTTGGCGATATGTATGTACATGTTTGAAGACAATCGAGAATGAAACTTAGGAAAACTCAGGCTAGATAAAAATGAAAACAACAAAATTATCTTTCGTAAACATGTCTTTCGAAAAATTAGAATTTATTTTCGTATTATCGCATATGTGGTAGTTCTAAGTTTAATGTGTTGTTTTTTGTTTACGTTTAAGCTTTTTACAATAATATAGGTATTTTAATTGTAAAACATAATATTTCGTTTAGAATTGTTTGTATTGTTGTATTTTTTTTTTTGTGTTGTTTAGTTGGCTTAATTCAAAAATTAAAAATTTATGGAAAGCAACAGTAAGTGTAAATTAATGCCTAAGCTTTAATTAATTTTTCTCAGCCATTTTTTCTTTAATGTAAATATTTAATCGAATATCATTTAGTGTTTCTCCTTGTTATTTAATCGTTTAATTTTTATATAATATAATACATAATTGCCTTGACTCAAAAAGCGACTTAACATTTCTACAAAAGACGAATTGATATTTTGATTTGCGTCGTGAAATTGGCATGAATATCGAAAGAAATTTATTTACACACAATTAACAAATAAAGAAGGTGAAACAAAGAACTTAAAATTAGAAAACCGAGCGGCACTCTCGCTATGATCAACAGAAATCTTAAATTATCAATTATGTTCTTGAATGTGGCCTTTCCATCTTCATTTTCGCTTTCTCATGTTTCCTCCTCTTTTTTTGTGATTTTTTATTTTTTGCATTTCTATGCTTGTTTTTTTTTTTTGTTTGTTTTTTTTTTTTTTTGCGTTGAAAGTTTCCCTCTTTTTTAGTTTTCTCGCTTAATTTTTTGCTTTTAAACATTTGTTGACAATTTTATGCTGCATGATATACAATTGCTGCTTCGGTTGCTGTTGTAATTTGCTGGAAAGTTGCTGCCATTGCAATCGTCATGGCCTATGGTATCTGCAAGAGAAAGTTTTGATTAGTTTTTGTTTTCAGCCCCGTCCTGGATATAGAATTAAATGCGACTGAAGTTTAAATGGCGTGTGGCAGGTCGCTTAGCTCTTTAAGCACAAAGTGCAACTGGCCATTGGCAGCGCACAAAATCCAAAAGCCATTACACACTTTCAACCGAACAAAACGCAAAGTAGAAAAGCAGCTGCAAAAACTGCAATGGAAATATAAATGGAAAAACGTTGCCGCCACCGAATCCTTTGTGACTGCATATCGCCAAAACACATTTGTAAGGGACTCGACTCGCTGACTGGTGGCCGAAACTGCACGTGACACTTCACTGGCCATTGGCATTGGCAATTTTTTGCTTGGCTCACTTTTTGGCCATTCGATTTGGCCGCAAGGACACGCCCGCTACATAATTCAGGGGCCTGTACACTCGACTGGTGTGTCTCAATTGCGAGATTGCTTTGGCCCCAGAACTTAGCCATCCACCCAGCCACAGATGACCTCACCCACCCACCACCCACGGGAGCAATTTGCAAAACCAGTTACACACAGAGCTTGTCCTTGGCCACCGAAGCGCGAAATACGCTGGCAAAGTCAATTACTCTACATCACGCAGTCTAATTATTTGGAATGGCTATTAAACTAATATGCGCATACATCAGTCGCATACTTTTTAAATTTGGAATAGCAATAAATCGTGAACAGCAATTAAATAGTCAAAGGGTTCTGGTGGGGTGCAATGCTATTTTCTAGTTTGCATTTGAATCCATTTCTGACACTCCTAAACTATTTGCCTACGAAATTCTAGCCGGATTTTAGTCCATACCTCGTCAAATGCCGACTGCCCTCGTGGACGGCCATTTCGGAGGACTTGAACTCGTTCAGCTCCTTGCGAATGGCGGCCTTGTCCTTTGGCGTCAGTCTTGTCCACGGCTTGTCCGCCCGCCGATCGTAGTCGTGGGCCTGCGTGACCTCGATGTAGTCGTTGAACCGGATGATCTTCTTCTCCTTCAGCTCCTCGACGGTCGGCCGAAAGCTGAGTTTGCGCAACAGATACGACTTCTTCTCCTCCTTCTGCTTCTTCTCCTCGGCGGGTGATTGAGCTGAACGGAAAAAAGCGGGTAACATTTAGTTAAATCAAATGAACAGAATCGAGCGAGGTGAATGTCAACTAAATTCAAATATGATCTGGATTGCCCGATTCAATTAATGGGAAATTCTTGAATTTAGTTTGGCCTTCAGCTACCACAGTCTATTCACTTTTCAAGATGTTGCGCTCGACCAGCTCCTCGGCCGTGGGTCGCATGGACAGCCGGCGGATGAGGCGTGCTCCGATCGCCTCCTTGGACTCCTTGAGCTCGTTGTCATTGACCTGGTGCAGGATGTTGCGGTTGATCAGGTCCTGCTTGTCCGGCCGGAGCTGCAGCTTCAGGGACAGCGACTCCTTGCGGGCCAGTTTGGCCAGCCGGGTGTTGTCGTTGTCCTCGTCCCTGTAGACGATATGGCCATCACTCTCGTCACTATCGCTGCTGCTTTCGCGTATCACAAAGGGCCGGGCGTTCTCCTTGTTCTCCACGGTGCACGGCAATTGGATGTTGAACATTTGCTGCCTGCTGTGGGTTAAGCATCAAAGGAGGCGTCACATTAGGGCACATTGGAATTATGTCACTGGCATTCGCATTAAACACTACAAACAGACATCACATCGCTCACAACACAGCCACAAACAGTAACTACTGGCAACTACATAACAACCCATGCATTTCAGTCCCTTCTCCTCTGAGTCCGCTCCCTCCTCCTTTGTCGCAATCTTGGCCAGGCAATCTGCCAGATTTAGCCAGCTTCTGGCACTCACATGTGCATAAATATCCGTGCATGTGTTAAATTTATTCATCCACGTGCACACAGCCACACAGCACTAGGTCTATCTCTATCTCTATCTCTATCATCTGGCTCTGTCTACAGTGGCACGCGAAATAGTAGCAGTAATAAACACATTTTAAGTGCCTGTTTTGCATACTTAATCGCACTTAATAAATTGCATTTATTAGTGTGCTATTTTTAATTATAAATGAAATGATTTGAATATAAAGCCCATTATCTTTTCGGCTCATTTACATTCACGAGATTACATCGCTCCTATTATTGTAAGCACAATTGTAACTGGCCTATCTGTTTCCATTTCTTTAAGTTTTGTCACCAAGCCGAGAAAAAAAGGGGAAATGTTTTTTCCACCTCTTTATTTTCCATTGCTGCTGCGGCAGTTTCATTTCTTTTATATCCTCTTTTTTTTGCAAACGGCAAACGGCACGTGGAGTGCACATCTGGCAACCCACACCCATGAAAATGATATGCAAAACACATGCATATATGTACGTACGATGCTCATGTGTTTGACTTTTTACTTAAAGCTGTCGGGGTTTTAGAAGGTTTGGAAAACCCGCCTCGAATGCCATATCCTGTTGGCTGCTTCCGCCGCGCTTTTGGGGCGTTAATGCAAAACACGATTGGATAAAAACTGAACAAAGCCTGGTGTTTCGTGGCACAGACTGTGGGGTCCACGCGGCGTATGAGTGACGCAGGACGCGTTCCCTGGGGCACGAAGCACCACATTGTGCATAGTTTCCTAGCAACTGTCTCCGAGGAAGTCGACTGAGAGTGCCACACAGGAAGCCTCTATCTCTTCCGAAGATTATAACTTTTTTACACAGTGGAAGTAGCTTTAGCTTATTTCTGATCACTATACTTTTGGTATTTTTGAGTACAATTTTGTAGCTAAAGTTGTTCTATATTTTGAACAGTACAATTTAGAGGTATTCTCTTTTAGAGGCCTTTCAGCCGACCATACATCCTCTACAAAGGCACACATTTCTTTCCTGACATATCTCCGTCACATTTCGTGCGATTTAGCCTCCATCAAACTGGATTCATAGTGCCACATACCCATAAATTCAACTCGCTTCCCATTTTCCGATAGAAAGATAGATGTACAGATGGTTAGATATTGGAGGGCGCACAACAAGAAAACGCTTTTTACCAGGCACGTTTTGCCAAGCCTCAGTTTCGTTTTCGCCGCGCTGTGAAGTTTCTTTTTTCATTTTTTATTCCCTTTTATTTGATTTTTGTGCGTTATAAAGTGCAGGAATTGTTGGCCATATCCGTCATGTGAAACGATGGAAGCACTTGAGTGAGGCCTGTCTGTGTCCTGCACTCAATTTGAATTTCAATTTGGAAGCACTGGCTACTCTGCACAGTCTGTCTTTCAACACACTTGAAGTTTTTATATGGCCTCTGGAAAAATTAAAGGCAAAGTTTGCCTAATGAAACAAAAAAAAAAAAACTTGAACTACACACCGCCGGAAAACTCATTTCCTTCTAAGGTTCCCTTCTCTGTGCATTTCCTGCTTTGCATATTTCGAATGTGGGAAATATCAAATTAAAACTGGGAGGGCAAATTGTAATTTGAAACAAATTCCTGCTTGAAATGAAACATGCAGGACTCAGAGGAAAATACAGACAGCCGTACCAAAAAGAAACGAAAAAGCAAGTTTTACCAAAGAAGAACACACACACATACACGCAGCCACACAGATACAAAGGATATGGAGAGGACTCGAGTGCTGGTGTTGTTGTGGCGGAAAAATGAAAGAAAAAACTCATAAGAGGCAAACAACGAAAATCGCAGCAAAAAGTTAGTAATTTAATAAGAGTACGAATGTGTGGGTGATTGTTCCAGTTTGTGTGTTTGCAAGAGAACTACCAGTGTTGTAAAGTAGTAAAACTTTCACTTTTTATTTGCCCAAAAATAAAACAAAAACTTGTTCCAAAATATGGGGAGCTGAGTGTTAGAGTACAGCAAAGTGCAAGGATACAATGAGAGCAGTTTTTGTTTTTGTGGGGGAATTGTATTATTTTTCAAAAGGGCGTGTGGAAAGTGTTATACAACAGAGTGTGGGAGTAGGTGTTATATAACAACATTTAAAACATTTAGAAAGAGAGGGAGAAGAGTGACAGAGAAATGTAGCGCCATATGTGGGGGTGCACTAAAAGCATTTTTTGTTTTGGGATTTCATGATTTTCACATTACAAATAAATTAGCTAAAATTGTTTACCATAGTCTAATCCGTGGTCGTAGTATTGGCCTGATATTTCGTTACATATTTTGTTGTTTTAGTCGAGATAGTAGTAGTAGTAGTAGATATAGAAGTGGAGGGGGTTTGTTGTTGATCGACACGCACACACAAACGAATCGAATCGAATCGAAATTGTATATGAAATAGAACAAACATAGGTTTTCAGGGGCAGTCGGGGAAGGAGAAGAGAACAAATTGTTTTGTTATAGAAAATAGTTCGAGTAACAATAAAAACATAACAAGTACAAAAAGGTCGTGGGGGATACTATCTTTTGGTGAGCTTTTCTTCGTTTCATAGTTTACAGTAGGCAAAAAGTTGTGATTGTACTACAGAGACAAACCAAACTCTCTGTGGGCAGTTGAACAAACTTTAGTTGGGTGTTTGAATAAAAAACTACCAAAAAACGTGGGGAATTCGAGGGCGGTTAAGGTCGTAACGGGTCAACGGGGATTTAAGTAAAATGTTTTTAAATTATTCTACTTATAAGGGCAATTACGCTATTAATGCCTTCCCAAGGGACATGTTCTTGGTTCGGCGCATAAATAGCGCATTCTGCCAGTTTAGTACTCACTTGAGCGAATAGTTGTTGCCCGCCGCATCCTGGCGAACGACCAGCGGTCGTTGGTTGGCGGATTGCTGGGCCGCTGCGGCGGCAGCTGCCGCCATCGAGCCAATACCGCCATTGCTGTTGGCCATGGCCGCCGCCGTTGCCGCGCTGCCCGCTCCATGTTCCTGGGTGGGCGTGACCGGCGTGGAGGCGGAGGCGGGCTGCATGCCGCCCTTCTTCTTCAGCGCCGACTTGAGAGGAACTGCATTTGGTTTGGGCTCTTTGGCTGGAATTTCCTCGACGCGCTGCGTGTCCATCATGCGCACATGGTTGCCACCATACGGGGCGTACTCGTCGTCCGAGTCGAGCTCATCCTGATCGGGATCGTTATCTGTGTGCGGAGAAAGTTTCCAGTTACTAAGGGCTGCATGTGAGATTTCGATGAAATTGGGCCTTGGGTCGGGAGAGTTGGAGGGGGGCTAGCTAGTGGGGTGTTGACATCAACTTGATTGCAAGCCAAATTAATACTCGAAAAACAAGACATATCACTTGTATAGTTCTTAAAACTGAACATTCTTATATCAACTTCATTTCAACCTCCCCAACTAGCATACATTATGAAGTGCGCGTTTTTGTTAATGAGCTGAGGGTGGGTTAATCTAGAGGGTGGGGATTTTAGGGCGAGGTTTGGTTCGGGTAGGGGCGGGAATTACCATCGTAGTCGTAGTCCTGCTGATAATCCTGATCGTTGACGGCGCCTGGCCCGTGCGGTCGTCCTGCGATGAGCGTGGGACTTGGAGTGGAGAACATCGGAGGCGGTGGGATCGGTCCGATCTCCGACAGCGGAATCGGCGGCTCCGGCAGTTCGCTGAGCATTACGCCCGGCGGCAGTTTGCCACCCGGATAGGGCGGCGGAGTGCTGCCCGGCGGACCACCCACCATTTTTCCATCCTCGCCATCTGATTAAGATCAATTAAAACATTGGTTCGCAATCGCATTCGAAATTTTGAATTGTTTTTGCGGTTCAGTGGAGAGAGGAGAGGAAGTAGAGTAGATAGCATAGATGGATAGATATAGAAAGAAAGTCAGAATAGAAAGTGAGTGAGCAGCTCTTCCTCGAGTCTAGCCAATGTGTCTGTGAAAGTGTGCATGTGTGCGTGGGTGAGTGACTGTTTAGGTGTGTGCGTGGTGGCCAAGTGTGGGTGAAGTAGGCGATAGAGCAAAGGAAATCTGGCTTATAAGCCGAGAAGCAAGTTTTTCAATTAACAAATTATGTGAAATCATCTAAAATACTTGTAGTTATAGAGGAGCTTTGCGCTTCGGTACAATATGTAATCATTATAAAAATAGCGGTCTTCAAATTCCTTTGCCCTTTTCCACCCGATGCCTTATTATCTAATGGCTTGAAAAGCACTTTCCAAGGATACTTCTGCTGCACTTACACATGTGCTCGTTGTGGTAGCAGATGTTGACCCCGCGACGGGTCAGCTTATTGGCGCCGGCGAGCGTGTTGGGCCGCTCCATCTTGCCACTCCCATCGACCTGGTGATGGCCACCGCCTCCGGGTGGCGGCAGCATCGAGCCCTGGCAGGTGGGCTGCTCGATGTTGGGCGTGGATATTGTGCCATTGCCTCCGTGTTGTTGTTGTGCATCAGTCTTGTCTTTTCTTGGTTCTGCAACAAAACAAGATAAGAGAGAGTTCCAGATGAGTCAGGGGCAAACTAATTTATGGCTTAAAGTAGCCCACAGCATCCACGTGGCAGCTGATACAGGTATGCATGCATGTGCACTTGACAAGCTTTTACTTTAATTGTCGTGTGTGCTGGTCAGAGGCTTTTGGTCCTGGGGTCTCCGCTTGGCGGTGAGTCCTTTGGCCAGTCGGAAAATTGCCTGGCGGGCAGCTGCCCCGTGCAACCACTTCACTGGCCACAAAGCTCTCTTCTGCACCGAGGGATAATGTGCAGCATTCGTGTTCGTCCCTTTGATTTTCTCAAATACATATTCACTTCATATATATTCACAGCAATATTGGAAAATAGCCGCTTTTCTCCCAGTGCACACATGTCCCTGCACTCCTTTTCTCGCTTCTGTTCACTTTCCCCGTCCTCGAGAGTAGTATTTTTAATTGTTGTTAAAGGCTTAAGCGTTGCCAACTCTGCTGGGTCGAACTGTGGCAAGGACTTTGGTCCTTCCCCGGCAGACATGGCGGATGCGCATTATTTCCTCGTTAAATTTAAGTGAAAGGTAACGAGAAAAGAGATTTATGTGAGCAAAACAGGCCTCAAAGCGACCGGATATTGCCCGAGTCCCATGTTTCTCGTAGCACTTTATTTATAGAAATTATCCCACCACAAGAACCGAGGAAAATATCTTATTTTCGTACTATTAGCGAAAAGATCACGCAATTAAAATTCCAACCCTAATAGACACCTAAAGGAGATCGCTTACAGAAGCAATTAAAGAGAAATTCCAAATCCATTTCGCTGATCGGTTGACAGACAGCCAAAAAAGAGCCGTCCCAAAATCCTGCGCAATTCCCACACAAACAAATATTTATGGTCTAAACAGTGATGAAAATATCGCTCACACGGCCATCACACGATTAATTGGCGGTTCAGACTAGCAAATTAATTCACATTTTTCAACAAGTTGCGTGGCATAAACAAACCGCAGCAGTGAATAATCCATTTCATATTGAATGCAAATGTGCAACGAAAAATTCAGATTGCATACCAGCTGGGTTAATCGCATGCAAATAAATATCAAAGCGACTGTAAATACGCAGCACAAATTTCATGGGGGCGGAAATACTATATGCTCCATACAGGAGGCGTGGCAATCGTCAGCACCTCGGCAAACTATTCGAAACAGATACGAATTCCGCTGGCAAATTGCCAACCTTCGAAAGACTTGACGTGTTTGCCTAAATATGTTTTTAAACAAAGAGTATTTTTCTCGTTTCGTTTTTTGTTTGACGCGCTGAAGTAATGAAATTATATTTCGCATCAAGTTCAAAACAGTCAGAGCAGAATGAAAAGTAAAAATCTGATGGCTGTCTGCAGAAAAACCGCAAAAGAAAATTCCTTGACTTTGACATAGGTGAAAGCCACTAAACGATCCATTATTTAATTGCAAATATCATTATTGGGCAAAGAGATTTAAATATTTTATTTGAATGCATAGAATTTGAAGCCTGTCAAAAGCAGACTGCTGATGAAATAGCCTTGACTTTGACATAGGTGAAAATGTTGTATATTGCCCACTAAATAAAGCGGTAATTTATACAAATGTTAAACTAATATAAGCAAAATGAAACCAATTAAAATTCAGTATCAATTATGCAAATTGAGATAAAATGTTCTGGCTCTCGGTCATTTATCAATTAGAGCTGACAGCCTGAAATTCAAACACAAACTGAGGGTCTTAAATTAGCTGGATATCTTTTGGATTTATATCTGATGAAAACACACCCACACACCTTGTTTCTACACAAAAAGAAATCGAAATCACGAGGATATGGTTCAAAATACATTCATTTCTCGGGTTGAAAATTACTATTTGGAATCCCAAAGATTGACTCACTTTCCGATAACATTTACTACATTTGAGATATTTTAGAAAATTCTCTTTTAATTTATTTTACAGTGCATGGACCTTTGTATCCACAGCTGTCCTGTGAAATCATTCGGGAAAAGACATCAAGTAAAGTTTTCCTCGAGAGATTTTCTCTCGTTCTCCATTTCCCACTTTCATCCTTGTATTTTCTCCATATCAGTACATCTCTGGTTCTCCCTGTCCGAGGAACAATGTGCACACTAATGACATTAATTAGGCAGAAAGTTTGGCCTCTAATTAGCAAACACACACACAAACAGACGAACACGATGCGGCCAAACACAAACATGGCCAAAATCATTATCGCCAGATCCCCGCCTCCAACTTCCCAACACTTGAAACAAAACTCTAATCAATTACCCCAAGTCTCGCCCACAATTACAATTGAAGAAAATTTTGGGAAAGGTTCAAACAGCAGACAGTCGCTTTTAGGTAATTAATGCATAAAGTGTTGCCTTAATTTCAGACGAGTTAACATTTCGCTTACATTATTCCTTACATTGTTAATTATTTAAAAATCATGTCAAGTGCGGTTCTCGAAAACATTTCAAAGGGCAACTCCCCACGTTCAAGTTAATTAAAGTTTGCCTGCCGCAATATGATTTCCTCGCACGCAGCAAACAAAGTTTATGTTTGTGTGGGCGACACGGTGACGTCACGCGGGATTTGGATTCATGTTAAACGTAATGCCGAGATTTATTTATAATTCAGTCCACCCTACGTGAAAATCGACGGAAAAAATACAGACAGTGAAGCATTCGTTATGCAGCCGCCAACTAATTGCGCGGCCACCCATACAATCGCATAAGAGCAGATGCACAGGGAGAAATTAACCAGTTGAAACATTATTTGAATCAAATTTCGTAAATATTTACCAATACATGCAACATCAATTATTCAATCGGTCCAATTGAATTAAAACCTATTTTGAGTGCATTCCGCTTACATTCGTTGCGAAACCTGTTTTTAAGAGTGCCTGTTTTTTGCTCCCACTCAACAAATCAACGCGGAAAGGGGCAGAAAGCTGGGAAGGGGAAGTCGAGGGCCCACTGTGACTGCAGGCAATGTGTGGATATTTGATAAATAAGCAATGAGCATTGTGTATTTGCGGCGGCAAGTGGAGAGGGGAGGGAAAGTAACCCTGGGAATGCTGCAAAAAAGCCACACTCAACAAATTTTCATTGCTCTTTTTCAGTTTTAGCATGTCAGACGACAGAGTTTGCGAACATTTGGGGAATACACGAGTACATGTAAGTCGGGGAACGATCGGATGATGAGTGCCAGAGATATGTGGGCATCCTTTGGAGATTGACAGGCCCAGGGAAAGCTTGACGTCACAACGAAATTACATTACTCATACGCCATGTGCCCATGAGCCGCAGGAGCCGCAGGAGCCGCAGCAGCAGAAGGAGCAGAAGGAGCAGCTGTGGGGGGTTTGGAATGGGTTTGGAATATTAGGCAACAACACGTGCATTTGACTTAACCCTGGGTGGAAAATTTATATGCCACACTCCGAAAAACGGAATCGTGGCCTCCAAAACTGCTCGAATTCCAAAACTGCATCACGTATACGCCCCGTGCTGCATGGCAAACAACTTGGCAATTATAAGTCTCAGAATCTCGGAATCTCACACCCCCGCCCATTTGCAGCGGCTGTGCAGGCATTAAATCAACACTGTGTCACAATTCATTAAATTTAATTAATGCACCCACCTCGCTCTCGTTAGTTCAATGCGACCCAGAGCAAAGAAAGAGTGATTTGTATTCATATGGTCATATCTACAGAAGTATCAAGCAGAGAAAAGCATTTAAAGCAAATCTATGCATATTTTTCTTTTTTAATCTTCTTAAAGTCTTGTTAATTTATTTGGAATTCCATGTACAAATTCTATAGCTCAGTGCTATGTAAATACTGAGTACTATATTAAATATTTCGTTACAATATTTTGTATCTTTCAAAAGTAAATAACTTATTGCATGCAGGGAGTTTGCAATATTACACACATTTCCATCATGTCGTAGGAAAATTCCCCTATCATTTTGTGTTTTTGACATGTAAAGCTCCTTTGCAAGTACTCTTGTGCCTGTTAACTCGTGGCAATTCACCATTTTCTATTTGGCATTCGTCTTTTCACAGTTTTTCGTGTTTGTCGAAGCGAAAAACATTTTCCACTCGAACAAGTGCACTTGACAATGGCAAATTTTATTGAATGTAAAGCAGCAGACTGCGAAAAAGGGTTGGCCGGAAATACCTCTAAGAAAAATTGTGAAGTTGAGCAAATAAACTATATCAAATTGGGGTTGAATAGCCCCTTTTGATTTTATTTATGCCCTTTCACCTTGCCTAAGCTGTTGCTTCGCAGCTAAGTACACATATACAGACTTCCATTAGCTGGCGCATAAATTCGGGGCACTTAAGCCACATTTCACCCGAAAGTAGCTGAACTTTGGCCTTTTCACCGCTGTTTACTTTCAATATTCTACTTGGAGAGTGGAGGACTGAAAAAAATAAAGAAATACCCAGCATACCAAAGCATTACACCCCGCGGTCGACGACGACACATTGGCCCACAATTCGTTGGCCGAGATTGAAATGCGTTTGGCATTTAACAGGTTAATGCAAAAATAAACACATCAAACAGCAGGCTGAAAGGCGCGCAGCTAAAATACCTGAGCGAACAGAACAATTAAAAGTTTTACGATCCAAAGTAAACAAAACAATGCAGCAGCGCCAAATTAAAAGGCGATTAAAAATAAATTAAGTTTACCCCGGCAATTGTTATAAGCCAAATGGCAAACGCAGCGGGACGAGATGTAACATTTAAGTTGAATAATGTTTGAGTTTTTCACTTTTGCACCACAGCACAACAGCACCACCCACCCAGAAAATTCCTTACCTACCATTGAAATGTACACAAAGGTGAAGGTCGAATGCCGCAAAAACATAACCATCAGTCCATCCGGATTTTTGGGCCACGAGAAGCAATTCCTTACATTTTTTTCGCTTCCCCATTAACAAAATTTCTTTGCCAAAGATTTGTCATAGCAATGAAAATAA